AGCAAAGCTTCTAGGGATGTTTGAATTCCTCTCCTTGAAAACTAAGTACCAAGAAGCAAATATCTAACAGATAGGATTAGGTGGGGACAGAGGTGTGTTTGCTATTCTTAAAATTCACTACCACTTGTAAAATACCATCTAGTATTTGATAACTCAGGAGACAGAATGGAGGAAAGATCCATTTGGCACCCTGTCCTTCCTGCCACCGTGTCAATAAGCAGGGCATGGAGGCAAAAGCCCTCTCTTACAGATGCCCCACTTTACCAAGCAGTAGTATACTACATTTCTGCCTGTGTAGTCCTATTAAGAACCTAATAGTTTCCAATAGGCATATCTTCCATGAGAATCCAGAATATGAAAAAGCTATGTATTTTTTCAAGCACAACTCTCAGAGCCCTTTAGCCAGCATGGGTTAAGTTGTACCTCCAGAAAAGTAATATTTCCAAGGTGTGAAATGATTGTTAAAAATCCACATCATTGCTCCAACCTGTGATAATGAATCTCCTATATCAGTTGCTCATCATGTGAACGTTTGCCTGTTTTCTTTGTCTGCCCTAATTTACTACCAATTAATTCTATGGGCTGACCTCGTTCTACTATTATAATGGAGAAATAACATTGCCATCAGTTTTCTTCACACTATCCATACTTTTACAATCTTCTATTATGCTCCCTTTTCATCCTTTTCTTTTATCTGACACGTTTGCTTTTCCAAAGCCTCCTCAAGACCAGGACTGACTTAACACAGAAAGAGATTCTTACAAAGAATGAAAAAGCACTCTTCCTTCAAAGTACTGTCATGTTTTCACTTGAAACAACACATCTCTATAGGACACCCAGCTATTGAGCTTGAGCTTGTGAGATTCTGTTCCAATTATTTCAAGGGCCAAAGAGGTAAGTGGGGATGTAGGAGATGTACCCAGATTAGCTTTTGGGAATTCTTTTGGTGACAAAGATCAATTATACTCCTTCCCTTCACCCAAAAACACAATGTCATAGCCCTGACATTAAGTTCTAATCTAAAACCTGGAGTTCTTTGGTGCTAAAATATGGTCTTTCCTAACAGGAGTGGTGCAAGATGTCAAAGGCAGAAGGATACAGGGCACTCAATTTCTCCCTCTGATTCCTTCCTCAGATTGAGGCATTTTTGTCTGGGCAATAATAGAAAATGGACAGTTATTTATAAAATTACTGAGTTATTTTTTGCAAGCCACACTGATGCTGTAAAATAGGACAGTCCTACAAGTCAGTTTCCACACTTCCTTGCTTTGGAAAGTAACCAAGGGGCCTTCCAGAATGGTCTTTTACAGAGCTCATCCTGTGGCCAGAGAATAGCCACCAATGTTTTCCAGAGAAGAAATGCTCCCTTTGCCCCAGATAGGGTAGAGTGACTTCCCATCACTCATGCTTCATTCTCTCAGACCAGCACATCAACTCACCTCATTGGAAAGCCACGTCTGCTTCTATAGTGAAGATGAGGAGCTTGGTGCATCATTAGTCTTTCCAAAAAAAGAATTCACCTCTTCATCTTCTTCACTATACTAGAAGCTGTAGTGTCTCCTTGGAGAAACTAGAGCTTCCTAACATGTTTTCCCAGATTAAAAAAGAGCTTTTAAAAATTACAGTTTTATCACTTTTGCTGGGGTCCTGCAGCCCAAACACCCATGAAGATGGAGGGCCTACTGTGTATAGAAACCCTGCCTATAAGGAATGCACGTATGAAATTCTCTGGAACATTTTTAGTGGAATGGCTGTAAAGATGAACTATTTTCTATTGCCCATCTCAAAAAAACACTATTCTTCTCAGTGGTGGTTCCACTGAGACTCTTTCACCTCTCTTATTACTCCATGAAAGACATTTAAGAAATCTACATCCCAAATGCAAACTTGTCCACAGAAATCTCCTTGTGTCCACATTTGTGAAACATTCAGAAAACAAACACACAGAATAAATTTATCCAACTCCATGAAATTACACAGCCCAGAGGATCACACACTGTCCTGTTGTCACAAGTCAATCCTTTTTTACTACAGGGGAAATTGTAAACTAGAAAGATTGGATCTCATTTTCTTATTGTATAAAAGCAGAGATAAACATAGTCGTAACATAAGAGTATATCCCACTGAAATCAATCGAACTTTAATTAGTCTCTACTAAATTAGGTCTCATTGATTTCAAAAAGTCTGCTCTATGCATCACTAAATCTGAATCTAACCAGATACATTTCTATCTGGTAATACAAACGTATTGTTAAAAGTTAGTCTACACATGCCTATTGCGATGAGTATTTTCTTTGACTGATGTTCACATTTTGAAGCAGAAATCCCAAAAACTCTTCGTAGGAAGTACTTAATAAAAATCAGTCTAATTAAAACTGCAACTCTTATCCATGCCATTCAAAAGTAAGCAGTATTGATGTCTATATGGTTTCCTTTCAACTATGTATGTACAGAACTGCTGTCTAATTGTAGGTGTATGTCTAATGTTCCATAAGCTTCTTCAGAATTGTGTTAAAAGTTTCCCCCTGACATTAAGTCCAGTTGTGTCTGACTCTGGGGGTTGGTGCTCATCTTAATTTCTAAGCCGAAGAGCTGGCATTGTCCATAGACACCTCCAAGGTCATGTAGTTGGCATGACTGCATGGAACACCATTACGTTCCCACCGGAGCAGTACCTATTGAGCTACTCATATTGGCATGTTTTCAAACTGCTATGTTGGCAGAAGTTGGAGCTAACAGCGGGAGATCACCTTGCTCCCTGGATTCAATCCGCCGACCTTTCAGTCAGCAAGTTCAGCAGTTCAGCGGTTTAACCCGCTGGACCACTGGGGACTCTGGAATTGTGTTAAGTTTACCCCATTTTATACATTGTTAAGGAAAGGATGGTTTTCTGGAGTTAGACCTCAACTATCCCAAAATGTGGTATCCCATAGTCCTCTGTCCCATCTTCCTTCCCATTGAGTGGACAAAGTGCAGCAGCCACTTTCTCCTGCCCTTTTATAGATATCATAAGATAGACTTTTTCTGCTGGGTGAACTATTCTTATGTAGATTTTTCCAAACTAATTATATGGTCACTGTTTCTTTTCATATGGTAACAGAACAGCACTTAGCTGGGAGCAAAAATTTGAAAGTTCAGGGTTTTGTTTTTAAAAAGAAATGATACAGTGGCGACCTCAAAGCATAGCAGGAATGGCAACTTGAGTATATAAAAGATTAGATCCAAAAATCTAATTTCAACATTGGCATAAGCCGAGTCAAATGCATAGAACTGACTGTATATCTGGAGAACTGGATACATGTATGCATTTACTACAGTCTCAAGCGCAAGAACCACTCAAAGCAATATTGATAACCCTTCTACAACTAAGCTAGAGGTATTCACTCTCAGCCTGATGTGGCCAGAATGGTGCTTCCTCAAACTAGACCTTGTTGTATCCTGGTAACCTCTTTCCTGTAATATCTTATTGTATGCAACTAACTTGGAATCAGGGCTTTAAGCCATTCTTCTTTGAAAACAGTATTATGAATTATTTTTTAACTGAAAGAATTTCCAAGTGGGTGATTTATGCAAGAGGCTGAATTCTGAAATATTTTGATCCATAAATGAAAAAGGTAACATTACAAATGTTACAAGAAAACAAGATAAACTTAAAGCCAGGGTGGAAATTTTGACATGCTCCCTCCCTCAGCCTCTGAGCTCAAAAAAGGAATTTTCCTAAGGCCCTTTCTACACTGCCATATAATCCAGATTATCAAAGCATATAATTGGGATTTTATATGGCAGTGTAGAAAAGGCCATAGTCACTGGCACTTTCATACTCACATCGATATGCAGCCAATAGATCTTTCTAATAAATATAATAAACACCCAGGCTATATAGATTGAAAAAGACAAAACAAATTTGTAAGAACTGTTTATAATACTTCAAGAAGCTTCTACACAACTGCCTTAAAGGGGCAGCTGCATAAAGATGTTTTCATTCAAATAGTGAAATGCTATTAATTTAAGATCATTACAACCTATGAAGCTACCTTGTACTATATAAGCCAGACCTCTGTCCTCTGGTCTGTTCTGATGGACAGACATTCTCCAGGGTCATAGATAGAAGTCTTTCCAGAGTCTTACCTGAACATGTCACAGATGGAGCATGAGACACCAGACAAATCACATGACAAAAATAATTACCCCAACCTTGAATTACTGTTGTAATACAATATATATTTCTAGTATCCATATGACGATGTTGCAGTATAATTCACCACCTCCCTTTATAAAATATCAACGAATTTGCACTTGAATGTGAGATTGAAATGAAAATGCAATTTATGACACCTTGGAATACAAGTGACTTGTGCAATATTTAATTTGTGCTTCCTACTTCTCTCCCACTCATCCTCTGCCAGAATCAAAGACTCATTGGGTCATACCCACATAAACATTGTCCCAAATGAAGCGCAGTCTTTAAATGCCACCTTCATCTGTATTTCTTTCTGTTTTTAAAAGTGCATCTTTCTTGTGATCTTGTTTCTAAGGTGGATGATGTGCCGTTCTCATGGTATTTAATGGCATTTTTGAGATACCCTTACTGCCTCTGAATATTTCTTAAATCCAAAACCAGATTTGTGTTGCTGTAGCTTTCATGGATTTAGGGAGAAAAAGACACATCACTCCCACTGGCATTTTTACTTCAGCCATGATACAGTACATGGCACATCTTCATAACATAACTGAGAACATTAGATAGGACTTCTATTTACACATTTCTGCAGCCACTTCCAGAAAAATAGAGAATAGGTCTGTGTGTGTGGAGGGTGTGTGTGACATATCTTGAAAGTCCTGTATTTTAAAATATTTTCTCTCCAGCAAAAGGGTTGGTCTTTTGCAAAAAATAAAATAAAAAAAAATAAAAAAATTACCTGCCCCATGAGAGTATGAAACCACTGATAACACCAGAGGAAAATGTGGAATGTTTGTTTTCTTCTTCCAGTGGCACATGGTTTTGGTTGTAGAGATGTAGCTTCTTCATTCACAAGCCAGCTTGCTGTCAAAACTGGACAGGGCAATAGCAAAGGCTTGAAGTGCACACATTGGATAGTTGTAGTCCATGGTGAAAATATCCTCAGCCACACGACCAAACTGCATCACGATATAGTCAGCTGAAAGGAAGCACAAAGTATGTCAAAAGAATTTGCAGCCCACATGAGCTCTGCATATATTGCACTAATAAAGCCATTTTTTAAATAGATCAATAATAAAATCACTATTTTTAAAAAGAGGATGGGGGGCAACCATTCTCTTCAATTGGATAAAATTTAAGTCAGGAAATGCTTTTTTTCCCTCTCTCTGAGGGCTGAAAAGGGTCTAATTGAGCTAATGCCCAGCTGTGAGTTATCTGGCACCTCTAGGCATAGCACAGATGTCCTCATAAAGGGCAGAGGCAGGAAACAGCAAAGATACAGGAAGGGAGAACAGAGCAGCGGAAGACAGCTGCAGGAATCAGGAAGAGTCGAGCCAAGTCACCCTTTTAATCCTGCCTCATCTCCACAACCTGCTGCCCTGGTAGAATCCCTTCCGCCACATTTTACTGGGACATCACTCAGCGTCACTCCAAGTTAACATCTTAAATTAGACTATGGAGCAAAGGGAGAGTGCAGTGCTGTTGCCAATGGGATGAGGGAGGATATTTCCCCAGTATATCCCTAAATAATATTTTGATATCCTTGGAGACTTATCAAGGGGTGCACAGTTTGTCCGTGTTGTGAATTCTGGAAAGTCTTCACAGGATGACTGTTCCATCTTTGGCCAGACAACAACTGGAGAAAAAGGATATTACAGGGAAATGTATTTTTCAGTAAATTTCTTGCACTCTCAAAAACTGTTGGGTGATAAGCCTAAGGCCCCTTCTACACTGTCCTTATAACCTAGGATCTGCTTATCCCTGATTATATGGCAGTGGAGACTCATATCATCCAGTTCACTGCAGATAAACTGGGATCAGATCCTAGGATATAAGGATAGTGTTAGAAGGGGCCTAAGGCTCATTGTTAAATCAGATTGCTTGCTGTTGACACACCACTTCAAAGGACTAATTATTAATATTCTACCTAATAATGACTCTTTGTAACTTTCAAATTAGATGTCCTCGAATGTTGCTGGACTACAACGTCCAGCAACCCCATAAAAAGACCAAGTGACTGGAATGATACTAGATGTACTTCAGTCTCGAGGAGCTTGAAGTTGGGAAAGACTTTATTCGCTCAATTCACTGGTGCAGTCGGTGTGTAAAGGCCAGTCTCCAGGAGGGTTAAGATTCAAATATATTTCCTCATAATATGTTAACTGCATATGGAAATTTGACAGAGGGATTTAATATTAAGAAATGAGTGAATTGTATCCAAAGCAGAGTTACAGTTCTATGTAGTTTTGTGTTCACTTGACTCTGGTGCATATGACTGTACTGGATGTGAACTGTTTTTCTACTCAACTTTCTTTGGCAGCTTCTTACAACAGTTATCAGGTTGCCATCTAATGAGCAATATTCCCATTCAATTTAGGTAGAAATGTCATACTTACGATCGTTATCATGAATGATTTGGAAATTCTTCACCGAGGCCTGTGTGACACGGCCATGGAAGTTCAAAACATAAGATTGGGTGTCATCATTCCAAACAGGTGTTTTGTTGTGCAGTTCAATGACACTTTCTGTGTTTTTATTCTGCCATCTTGAGAGAAGTGTTTCATGTTCCTGTACAAGTCAATGATACAACCTTTGCTTCAATAGATGATCATTCTTACATATTGTTTATGTAATATGAGAATTCACGTCTTCCTCATGTCTTTAGGATACCAAAAGCCCTGTTAAAATGTAACCCCTCAAGTTCACCATTATCTTCTAAAGCTTTCACTAAAAACCATTTTAAGGTGAGCTATGAGCCAAGAAGGACCTGGCACCAATCTTGTTATCTTTTAGAAAAATGGCTAGTACTCAAAAAAATGCATCTAGGCATTTCAAATACTGTTGCTGGCCCTTTTGTGAGGTGATTTTTCTTTGATGCACTGTACTTTGCGAGGGATGAGCCAGCATACAAAAGCACAATGCAAAACAAACAGACAGGGGGAAAATAGTGGGGGGAAAGCCAGCAATAGGTGGAAGAACCAGTATGGGGAGCCAGCATAGTTTAGTAATTTGAGCGTTGGACCACAACTCTGGATGGCAAGGTTTAAATTCCCACTCAGCCGCAAAAAACCCACTGAGTGGCTCTGGGCAAAGCACACACTCTTGACTTCAAAGGGAGGGAACAGTAAACCTCTGAATAGCTTGGTATTCCTTTTTAATGATAGTTGGCACTGAAAGATTTTGATAAACAAATAAACTGTATGCATTCATGGAAAATTAAAATGTACATCTCCTTTTCAAGAAACTCACAGGTGTGCTGACCCATTTCCAGAAACATGTCATAGGTGCATTTTCAATGCAGAGTTGTTTGCATTACACAGGTTTCCACCTGGATTTTTTCTGCTACAGCAGATGTGCAATAAAGCAAGTCTGTAAGTGAATCTCATGGGAAATTAAAGAATTAACCCTGCAACACTGCTAGCATATGATTAAAGGCATCTAGTGACAAGGATGGAATAATGTGACTGTTTTATGATGTCACATTCCATATAATCAATGGCAGAATGTGTCAAATTATTAATACAGATGATAAAACATGTGTTTGCCCTTCCAATATCTCTATTTTATTCTTCTTCTTAGTGCAGGAAGTTTAACAGAACGATGCCACTGGGTTCATGAATTTTGAGAAGTTATATCTACAGTTAATGTGATGCAATATTACATAGGTTATCAGTTGCCCATGGTGGTCTGTCCCTTAAGGAGAGACAGAAGAAAGGAACAAAGTGGCTGAAAAAGATGGGAGGGTGAATGATAAGTGAGAGGAAGGTCAAAGATGGAACCAAGTAAGTAAACAATCTTTCAACATAAGACTTTCCCCTGATTCATGATTAATATATTTACATTTTAAATGGGAAGAATAGTATCTATGTATGCTTTAAAAATATCTATTATTAAAACTGTCAATTGCAGCTATTATCAGGACCTCAAACAGCAATACAACTCCCATGACTGCATACTCATAGTCATTAGAACCTTGTGAACAGAAAGCCATGGGAAGCCCAGTATGCAATACTGAGCTCTGCACACTGATCAATGTGAGATAATGATCTGAAATATCCAGACATTCATCACACTCAGTTTGCTTGGATTTACAGTCATTTTAAAGTTAATCCTTGGATCTACAAAATCCTGAAGGTCCTGGAAAATTCTCCCAGAATCCATAGGATTGCCCCTGTAAGCATCTGTTGTCACTATGGTGGACATGATTTGTTGACTCTAAGTGGAGAGAATGTCTTACATTGCGTGGCCTGATGGAAACTCTCTCATGGTCCATATTCATGCCTGGAATGATGACGCTCATTTTACGAGGACCTTTGAAGCCCAAGACGTTTGTCTCCTATTTTAAAACAAAAAAGAAAGGCTTTTTGAGCATCATGCATCTTTCACTTTGGGTGACAATCTTTCTGAACAAATATTCTTTGGTTATACAACAAAAATTAGCTTACAAAAATGATTTTTTTTAACTTGCTACAAAGTCAATTCACTTTGGACAAATGCTGTCCAAAACATTTCATTTAATCTTGTAATTTTTCAGGGGGAAATAAAATTATATGGTTTCCTTAAAACATCATTAGCATGAAGACTGTAATCTGAAGAAAATTCCATCATATGAACAATTAAGATGAGTACTATGACTAATACCACTACCACAACTGCTGCTACTACTGGTAGTAGTTCTTCTTCTTATTATTATTCTTTTTATGATGTTGATGGCATTGAATTGTTGCCTTGTGAACCGCCCCGAGTCACCTGTGGGCTGAGAGGGGCGGTATACAAACATAGCAAATAAATAAACAAACATTAATACAGTACAACCCCTGTGTCTAAAGGGATGACATTCCAAGACACCAGTGCATGCACACATACATCCATATCCGAAACCATGGAAAAGAGCAAACCATTTATTGTGTCTATATGTCGGTTGAATGCATACCATAGAATCGCCCAAGAGGACCTAGACAGGCCCACAAACACTTCCAGGTGAATATTTTTTGGAGTTTTTGGAGCATGGGTATGTTAAACTATGGCTATCAGGTCCATGGATAAGGGAATCATAATATATAGCACAAAACAAAAAGATGGGAATTGTGAGTCTCTCCAGCTGTTGATGAATTGTAACTCCCATCAGCCCACAATCCCACCTCTGTTTTAGTGTTCAAAATGCTTGGCAAACATATCTCAGTAATCCTTCCCACAGTCCCTCAGGTAAATTAGTGTGTGTGTGTGTCCCTTTCAATAAGATAACAGCAGGTGACATAGGTCAGTGCTTTTTAAACTATCCAATGTGGTAGACTGGTAAATTGCATAACCCAATGTACCAGAGATTGACACCGTATCTGTGCTTACTGGCCACAACTTTCTTTCTTTCCTGCCACAAACTGGCAACCAGTGGTTTACAAGACAACACAAGTCTGTGGACCTCCAGTTTCTGAAGAATACCTATCAGGTTTATGGCAGGGAACAGATCTGAACCAGAGACATATTAATCCATATGGTCAACTTTTTAGTCATTGCCTTTCAGTACCTCCCTAATTTTAACTTTGTTGGATGTCCACTGAAGCTATGAGGACCAAGCGGAGAGGTTCACTGGGGAGGGGCTTGTGTGCCCCCTTTTGCTTAGAGGAAAGCAGACAAACCAGGGAGCCCCCCCCCCCACCTTGCATACTGTTCTCCATCCTCAATCATAAGATCGCAATCAATGTTCAGTAAGACTAATCCTAGATACTTCCACAGTTAAGGAATTATCTTTTAATTATTTCAAAATCTCTGTGTATATTTTATGTAGTCATGTGCATGCACTTCAACTAAAGCATTCTTAAGAAGGCTGAGATTTTTCAGCCCAGCCTGTTAATTCTGAACTGGGCCCCATAACACAATTTTACGTGAACAAAATTATATGGAAATAGTTAAAAGAATTAAAAGATAGTTTCCCCCCCCCCCCCCCCCGCCTTCTTAGAAGCTATCTGACAGCTATTTTTTGAATCAACAGAGTGGAATTTCTCTCCCTTGCTGCAATTCTGACTGTGACCATTAGGTGAAGCTGAAGCTTTATAAAATTCTCCAGCACCATCCCTGTGGGACAGCAACAGCTAAAAGGGACCTGGAACTTACTCTTAATTAAACAATTATTTTTTAAACATGCTATGAGAATGTAAACACAGGAGTTTATAATTATGATCTACATCCAATTTTCATCCAAATGAAAGGACACTTTCCGATCAATGGAAACTTGGCAGGTCAATACGCTGCTTTGATTTAAGGAGTCTGACTCTAGTTGAGACTCACAACTGGACTTAGGCTTATGTGTCCTTGGTTGGTTTTTAGAGTTAATGCATTTTGGAAAGTTTCCAACAAACACTTTTATGACAGAAATGTTTTATCAGAACAGATCCTCTGCCTGTTCAACCATTCTTAGGGTTGGTAAGTGGCCTCTCAATTTTGCTGTACAGAAAGAACTGCCAATCTCCCCCCCCCCCCCGCCACTTATTTCCCCACAAGAATATATTTTAAAGCTCATCCATTACATATAGAGCTACTATAAAGTGCTATGTGTTTTTAAAATACTTTTAAAACCTTTTAAAATAAATATTTTTGAAACAACTGTTTTTAAAATAAATCACATAAAAGTTTCACTGGCTTGCACTTCTTAAGAGAAATGAAGTATTTAAATCCTTTAAGCAAACAAAATTTGTGATTAAGGTTATATGGTTTCCTCTCACTTTCTGCTAATTATCTAAAGACAAGAACTGCCATTAAAACCTCCTTCTAAGTAAGATGGCTGAGCAGAAAGAAAAGTGTCTTCAATCATGTGTGGAGTAACTTCCTAGCACTTTTGAAGCACCTTGACCAGGTCCTATACATCTAGGATTAAGGATAATAGTTTCCAAAGCAGAGAAAATAATTCAGAGGCAGGCTGCCTAAAGTCTTTCATGCCAGGTATTTCTCATTTCAAAATAAAATGCTGAAGAGGGTTTCTCTCCATTCTTCTCATTCTTCTGCACATCTGGCAATCAGTTATGAAGTAACTGCCAACCTTTGACTGTGCTTGTTCAACTCAAACCCAGTGAAATGACTCAGAAACATGGTGGAATCAGCAGTTTGCTTGACCCAAATGCAGCCAAAGACACACGTGATCGGTATGAGCTAAAAGCATGCTGTGTGCAGAGCTGAGCATTTGCATCTTGTATATCAGATGCTCATCCTAGCGAGCTGCCTTTGCTCAAGGGAAACCCAGGACTTGAGCAAAAAAAGATCATTCGAGGGTAAAGAAATCCTGAGAACATCTGTGCTGTAAGTGGGTGATTCATCATAACAACCTTCACTATCATTGAAAAATTAATTTGCCCAGCGGAAAGAATTAATATATGGACGTGTTCACTAGCTAACCAGGTTTTGCATCACTAATCAGGTTTTACACCAAATTCAGGGAACCAGGATATGTTCCCTTAATTCAACTGACAATAAGGTGTGATCTGTTTATGGAAGACGGCCAGCTGGCCAAGTATTGCCTAAAGAAATAGATGGCCAAGCACACACAATCATGTTACCTGTAGTTCAGAGAAGTGTTCTAAGGAAAGGCATAAAGTCCAGCATATTTTCCACAAAGAGCTTACTTTAATTAGGCCTAATTTCAGGTAAATGAGTATAAAATTGAAGCCTAAATATTGATTGATCTAATAAATAATAGACATGTACATTTCAGATGTTCTGGTCTTATTTCTTTTCTTTATATAACCTAAACTATAGATTTCTTTAGATTACTAAAGCTTTAAAGAACAAAACAATAAATATTTGAGTTTACATTAAAGCAAAAAGCACCTGAAATAAAATAAAAGATGTTGAGATCCTAATTTAAGATAGAAAAACAAAGCATCGGTAAAAGCCTAAAAGTATGAGTCAAATTTTGCTGGATTTCTATAAGATAAGATGCCTGACAAACTCAGTTTGCAAGTGCAAGCCACAATTTAAGCAACACTCTAAAAAGAACAATAACAACAAGGTCCTGGATCATTTACTAGTGGATCATAAGTGAGTTTACACACTGATATATCTATATGCCTGATTAACATTTTTTTCTGAAATAAGCTTGCTCAGTTGGCCTACAAATAGTACTTACATAGCAAATAGCAGCCAGCTCCTGCCGCAGATTACTTGCCTCCAAACTCAGTGTTGTTTTCATTGGATTTACTCCATTATCATAAACTGTAAACTTTGTCCCCATAAGGTTTGATCTATCAGAGAAGAAAAACAGAGTGGCTGAGCTACTTGATTCATTATCATCCTCTAAGCCTCAAGCACTCAAAGATAATTAAAAACAATATAATATATAGCCATCTGATAAACCCAGACAGAAATGAACTTCTAGCGAGTGGAAGACCAGATTCAGCTGCTCTTTCTTACACAATTCTGATCAAATTTTCACATCTCAGAGAACTCTGATACATTTAAAGACTAGACAACCAATCTCATGAGAACACAATTATGAAAGGCTACATATTATTCTGGTTTAAAAGATCCAGAATGAATGTATGCTCCCTTATTTAATTTGTGTACAACGTCTCTACCAAGGAATAGTACCTGGGTAGTAAATCTAAACTATTCCCCTTTACAATTATCTGGTGAAATACATGCCAAAAGGTTAACGAAGTGTGTGGACAGACTGCAGCATCTAGCAGCCTTGGCCAACACAGCCAATGGAGAGGAATGCTTGGAGAGCCACATCTGGAAGGCCACATTTTGCCCATCAGAAAGTTGGACTGCACTTTGGAGAGAACATTGTCCAAAGCATTCTTTCTCCATGCAGCTTTTGTAACGCAGGATGCATTATTGAACATGTCTTCTCCATTGTTGAACATGTCTTCTCACTGGGACATTTCTTCAAAGATTTAGAGAAAACTAATAGCCAATTTGCACCCCTTGGCTGGAATAATAGTAAGCAAGTCTGTTACCTCATCAGCTGACAGCTGTTCAGATATTTAAAGACCATGGCCATGCCTTCTTATTCCTTTCTCTTCTGGATCAAATATGCCTAACTCTGGACATATTCCTTTGCTATCTATGCTCCATATATCAATATTGTTTTTAAAATGTGGGATCCAAATCCATTTGAAGTGTGGAACAAAACAAAATTATTACTTTTTATTATCCAAACACTTTTGACTTTTTGTTATGAAGTCTAATACTAGTTGATTGGCTGAGACAGAGTTTCTGACCCAAGCAAATGTCATGGCTGAGGAAGAGCTTTTACCCAAATCCACTGTTCTGTTTAGTAGATTAGATTAGATTTCATATTCTTCCTTATTATCATCTTTTCTATTCCTCTTTTGATGATTTTGTACCACTCTAATTATTCTGGAACAGGTAAACAAAAGGATAGTTAAAGAGGATTAAGGAAGTAATCAATTTGAATTAAGGAGAGTAATAGCAACCGCTCAATTCTTATGTGCCTTCCGGTAAATTTTAACTATGATTAAAAACATATTGACATCAGTCAGTAGTCTGCACAAACACCAAGCCTTTTGCGCCAATCTACCTCAATTTTCCAGTGAAACTTTCTCCACCTCGTGACAGGTCTGTTGGGTCAATAGAGATGAGGTAATTTGAGGTTTTGCTCTTCTTTCGCTTCCTTCCAGCTAACAAAAATACCTTTAAATATAAAACAGAATAATAAAGAAATATTTTATAGAAAATCTGACAGGACCTTAAGAAAAAGAAAATTGAATCAATTTTTCTTATGGGTTATCATCATCAGCAAAAATGTGGAAGATCAAATGAGAGTCAGCAAAGGGGTGGGGTGTTAAAATCAGCACACGAAACTACTCATTTCAATTCATTATTTATGATTTAAATAATTAAACCTAGGAAACACTGTTAAATGTTTAATTTGAGCTTGAACAGTCTCCTTCATTTGAAAGGAAAACAGAGGCCAGTTTGGATCAGAAGAATGAAGAACCCAACTGCTAATCATCTTCAAGATTTGAAACATTATTACTAATATGGATCAAGAAAAATGAACAAAAATAAAGATACCTGAATCTATGGGAGAATAAACAATATAGTGCCCCTCTTAAATGTCATTTACTTTTACATATTAGCTTTCATGATAAAAAAAAACCTGAGAGGTTTGTTTAAACAAAGAGAAAAACAAGAGATTGCAAGCCAAACTGGCAAGGTTGTGTGAAAGCAACTGTGGATTGCACATGCCACATTTGCACACCCCAATGTTTATTTCTCTATAACCTGCCATACAGTCTTAAACTGGCCCAGCAATGTGCACAACAATGGTAATAATTTGCAAAACTGCCTAAAATTAAATTTTATGCATTAATGTCTTTGGTGTATCATTAAAGTAACAACAGGAGAAAGGTTGTAGCTCATGGGTATGGAGCATGATTTGTATACAAAAGATCCTTATAATTCAAAACTACTGGTGAAAACAACTTTCTGAGAACCTTATAGCAGTGGTTCTCAACCTGTGAGTCCCCAGGTATTTTGGCCTACAACTCCCTGAAATCCCAGACAGTTTACCAGCTGAGAACCACTGCCTTAAAGCAACTGCATCTGTACAACCAAAAGAGAACCACTAGGATACAAGGAATTGACTTTCCCAAGATGGATGCCTAGAGGTGATGTTTGGACACAGTATTGCATAGACTATGCGAGAACTATTAGCATTCATTTTTTGAGTTCGAACAGCAGTTTGAAGAGACTCATTCCAGTTCCTGGTTCCCATGTCTTCCTTTTCCCAAACATATCCTCTTTTTCTGAGCTAAAATTTATCTCTGGGTGGATTTTAAAATGTTCCAGGATTTTTAAAATGTCCAGTCCTGCTTCACCTAATCGCCAACTCTATTGAGAGTTACGTTAGGAGAAGGAATGTGGTATGACCTAGCAGAGTGATATATGAGAGAGAGAGAGAGAGAGAGAGAGAGACTAAGGGTGGGAGAGAGAAGGGAGATGAACCCGGAACGGGAAGGAGGGGTGCTCAGACAGATGGCTGAGGAAGCCTCCAGCCACATAGGAGTGGTGGAACAGGGAGGCTTAATGGAACGGATGAGGCCACTGCCAGAAGAGGTGGGGAGGGGAGAACGTAACATCAACATTGGTGTTATTCTCCTACAATGAATATCAAGAATAGTGGCAGTTATCACACATAGTAGAGGTATTTAAAATAAGAAATGTTGAACTATCAGTGCACTGAAGTAGTCAGTTAGTAATTGTGTCAACTTTTCCAAATAGGTAACCTTAATTCCTGCCTATTTTAGCAATAGGGTTGAGCACCTTCTTAAAGGGTTGGCCCATGTCAGTGCAACTGTGCAGCTTCGTGACTTGACATAGAAGCCACCAGCTGCCATTATGATATTTCTGCACATGTGAAATAATTACTTTAGTGGAATAAATATGTGCAAACTCAGCATGAGAAATTTTAATATAAGATAATTTCATGACTGAATGGCCCACAGAGAATAATGATCCCTAATAGCATAATCATATAAGAAATGTTTGAGAAATAAGCTCCATACTTAGAGATACAGGTGTTTAGGCATTTAGTTGAAAGGAGGTTGATATTTATCTTTCTGGTTGATAACCATACCATAGTAACTACTATAAACTTTTATATGTCAAGCATTTGAGAAATGGATGTCCAAAGTGTGAGGAGAAGGATTTCCCCCCACTTTTATCGTTCTGTTTCTGCTTATTTTGTTCAACTCTTTCATTTACAACCAGCAAAATGTGCATTATGACCTTTTTACCATCCTCCCTTTCCAAGTGGAGGTAGTAAGTAGGGTACATTCCACGGTCCATCCCCTTCTTGTCTCTTGTTATTCGGCATTTGACAGTAACGCCCTGAGGAGCAGGTCTCACACCAAACTCCTCCAGGTCATCAACATCTATTACAAGGTTGTTAGTTGAAGGGCTAGGTCCTGAGGCTGTTTCCTAGAAGAGGGAGAAAAGAGAGAATGTATTGGAAACCAAATTATTGGATCAAATGATTTTGAAAGTAAATGGTGCTATAGAGACTATTCGAAAATTAAAGTCATTCTCCATGCTTTGTGCTTCTCTCTCTATCCTGTACAGCACATCTTGAGATGAACAGCAATATACTGAACAACAGTATGGAGTGCAATTTGGAAAGGGGAATATACATTAAAGATTATGCCCCATATTGCTGATGTTGCAACAATTATATTTTCAGCGCAGTAAAAGAAAATCCATGTGCTGGCTTACTCTGATGATCAATGAAGGCACGCAGCCAGCCAGCGAGTCAGAACAGTTCAATTGCTCTTTCTCATTGGCCCCTTTCTGCCCTAACTCAGAAACCACACACAATCGTCTGAAACTGCTGAATGGAGATAGAAGGCTGTAGGGCCAGGGATGCTGGCCTACCTTTTCCCAAAAGCAATATATCTGGAAAGTAAACATCTGCGTTTCAGAAAGAGTTATCTGTTAAGTATTTGAAGTCTCATCAGGGACATAGTTACAGGGGGTACAAAATACCTGCGTGACCGCATTTCTGTGTACAAACCCACATGATCTCTCCGATCATCTGGAGAGGCCCTGCGTGACATGCCTACCTGCGTGACCACATTTCTGTGTATGAACCCACACGATCTCTCCGATCACCTGGAGAAGCCCTGCTCGCATTCCCGCCTGCATCGCAAGCGCGACTGGCGGGGACAAGAGAGAGGGCCTTCTCTGGTGGCCCCTCGACTCTGGAACACATTTCCCAAGGACATCAGGCATGCCCCATCTCTGGCAGTCTTTAGGAGGAGCCTGAAAACATGGTTATTCCAGTGTGCCTTTCCAGAATAATGAACCCTTAGCACTATGTTCTCTAAAGCACCTTATACTGATTTAGGATTGTTTGTATGTTCCCACCAATGCCCCACCTCCCTATCTTGTTCATGCCCAGCATTATTTTAAATTTTAATTACATTCGGCCCAACCATAGATTTTAAATGTGTGTTGTGCTATTGTCAATGTTTATGCTATTTGTGTTTGAGATTTATTTTAATTGCTTTGTATTGTTGTTGTTATTGCTTGTACTGATGTATTTTGGGCTCGACCTTATGTAAGCTGCACCGAGTCCCTTGGGGAGATGGTAGTGGGGTACAAATAAAGTTTTATTATTATTATTTATTATAAGAACATTGTTTCCTGAATAAAAATTTTGCTCTTCAAAATGAAATTTTCCTTTAGTTCCCGCATTTCTAGCATTACAGTGACTTCAAAACTTCAGTTGAGCATTTAGAAATACAGTTTATTTGCATACACACAAATCCAAAAAAGTGGGTATAGATAAAAGTTCCAAAGGGAATGTGAACACATCAAATACAAGAGTTCTAGATGTGAACAATGGCTGACAGTGTTGTTGCTGTGTGCTTTCAGGTCATCTCTGACTTATGGTGACCTTAAGGCTAACCTATCACAAGCCAAGATTTGTTCAAAGGGAGTTTTGCCTTCCTATGAGGCAGCTGAGCATGGATTTAAACCTTGTTCTCCAGAATGAAAGTCCAATGCTCAAACCACAATATCACATTGGATCATACTAACAGGAAATGCTTCCAAACTGATTGGCCGTTACAACAAATAGCTGTAGGACCCCCCTTTTTAATTGCTAAGAAAAACTGGACTCTTTTAATTTTTAGATTTTTTTAAAGAAATAAATAATATTTTGATAATATATCTATATAAAGAATTCTGTTGTTTCTAACAGCTGACTTAGATGATCCTGTGACATGTTTTTTGGTTGCATCACACCTGACTTCTCACCTTGTTTGATTTCTTGCTTGTTGCAGAACCTGGTCGGGTATTACTATTCAGTTGTGAGGAACTTGAACTATCTTCATCATCTTCATCCTCCTCTTCATCAAAATTCATGCTACTTGAAATACCTGAGGGAGTTCAATCATATTTACAGAAATCAGACTGTTGCAAATTCAAATTGTTGTTGAAGGCTTTCAAGGCTGGAATCACTGGGTTGCTGTGAGTTTTTCAGGCTGTATGTCCATGTTCCAGCAGCATTCTCTCCTAACCTTTCTCCTGCATCTGTGGCTGGCATCTTCAGAACCTCTGAAGATGCCAGCCACAGATGCAGGTGAAATATTAGGAGAGAATGCTGCTGGAACATGGACACACAGCCTGAAAAACTCACAACAACCCAAAATTAAATTGTTTATTTCCATAGGATTTAATATTGAACAAAGATCTCATTTGCTGTAGTGTATCTTCTATCATTCTTTGTTTGGAAGAGACAGCATTATCAGAAGAAGGGAACTGCTTTAATATTATGCCAACATATGAAATAGTGAAGTAGGCAGCAATATGACCAAAATGTAAAGTACAATACTGAGCCATTCATTCAATCAACTTATTTATATCCCAGATTTCTCCTGGCACAAGCACCAAGGCTACTTACAATATAGATTTAATGCTTTAAAAATATCAATAAATTGGATTTTAAAATGCTAACTTGAAATAGTTAAAATATATTTTGACACCTTCTGAATTTCATACTTTAATAATATATGGGGGAATGATGTAGCACAGAACTCCTTTTACTGCTGCACAAAATATATGCTCACTTGACATCTCTAAAATGCTGGAATATAGTTTCTGCCTATCAATACAGTGCCATTAAGACTGCTTTCAATGACATTAATGGTAGTCAAAGTGCCTGAAAAATGGAAAAAACAGTTAAAATGAAGGGAATGATTGCACAGTCCTTTTGACTCAATTTGCTAAAAAAGAAAATTGAAATAAAAATTGCAGAACATTTCCTAGGGCATACTCTGATGTGGCAAACTGTGATAAAGGGTACAAAATGAATCAGTTGTCTTTTTTAAAAGTCTGATTTGTATTCCTTACACATTTCACATACCTATAGGAACCAGATAAGACTTTCCGGATGTTTCCTGAGGAACAAATTTCCAACACATCCCAGCCATCATTGAGTGATCTAAACAGGAATACGTGCCCAAGCTAAGCAATTCTAAGAAACATCAGAGCATTCTTTTTCTGCCAGGCACTCTGGGAACAACTTTCTATTGCTTATAATAATGCAAAACTGGAGGTAAGGAAGAGGGGTTTCAGAAGAATTGCACACTTCCCAGGTATCAATGTGGCTAACTGTTGGTTACTAAAAGTCTTAGTTGCACATCAGGCTAGAAAATGTGTTTGCTTTTGGAAATGTTCCCAAACCATCTACGGTCATCTGAGCCCTTCTGACTAATGTATTTTATCTTTCTAGGACATTATATAATCTACTAGCATTATGGGGAGGGGGTATCACATAGCTAAGCCCTAGCTCTACACAAGACCTGGTATAATCCATTGACATTAACAGAAGCTGTGCAGATAAGCTTCTCTGTTCTCATGTGACCCTTTCCTACAAAGGGCCACTATGGGTTCCAAGTGTGTCACTTTTAACAGGATTATGCCCTTCTCTTATGAAGAAAAAATCTCATGTAAGAAACTACATAGTGAAATATCTCAAATCAAGTCAGGTTTTACACTAGAACAGGGCTATGAAGAGCTCCTTCTCTTCCATTCTATGATTTGGTATTTGATTTACAGCAGAGGTGACTCCTATAGAGAAGACCAAATAGCTATGGACATCAGGAGACTCTGCTGAAAACCTACCTTTCTTCTGCATCGTTACTCTAAGATCATGCTTGCCTTGTTGTTGACAGGAAGCTATTATTTCACCATCATCTTCATCTTGACAAGCCTCTCCAACCGTAAGGATCTGAACACGGCTCCCTATTTCCTTTAGATCATCTTGGAAAGCAGCTGGACCATCAATGCCTACCAAGCAGCAAAAAGCCAAAGAACCGTGTCATTATCAAAAAGAAGGCCACATGCTTCCATTTCTGCTAATCTCAGAAGTTCTCCCTGGCAGCCAATTTCAATGGAATGCTGGGTTGCTATGAGTTTTTTGGACTGCATGGCCATGTTCCAGTAGCATTATCTCCTGATGTTTCACCTGCATCTGTGGCAGGCATCCTCAAAGGTTTGTTCAGAGGTCTGTTAGAAATGAGGCAAGAGATCATTTCTAACAGACCTCTGAACAAATCTCGGAGGATGCTTGCCACAGATGCAGGAGAAACATCAGAAGGGAATGCTACTGGAACATGGCCATACAGCCCAAAAAACTGACAGCAACCCAGTGATTCCGGCCATGAAAACCTTCAACAGCACATTATACTTGGAAGGGTAATATTATTTTGGGTTGGAGAGACAGAGATACTCTCCTGAGTTGCTCCCAGAAGTCTTTATTCTTGATCTTTTAACAACACAAAAAATCAGAAAATTGCATTGTAATGACACAAGAAAACATTTTTCAAAGTGTTCGTGTCTAAAGCTCTACAAGCAGGTAGAGGCAAGAAATTGCTGCCTGCATCTTTTTTCCACATGGGGAAGAGAGCAACATAGAAGCTGGACCCCCTGCTTGCCAGAGCTTTGAGGTTCAAGAAGAGGCTTTATGAAAAGCTGAGAATTTTACCCAAGCAGACCCATATATTAGTTTTAAGCATTTATATATTTTCTCTCCACTCAACAGTGCACAATTGATAAAGTATATAAAATAATGCAGAGATAAAAACTGAAATAAAACTTTCAAAGCAAACTAAATAATGAAAAATAATTTACAAACGAACTGCTAAAGAGCTAGACAGTTCCAAGGACCAAAGGCTGAGTAACATCTGTCAGAAGCTCAAACAAGATGGAATCCACTTAGCTTTCCTTGGCATGGATGTTCCACAGTTGCTAAAGGGACACAACCATCTCCATCCATACTAAAACACACACCTCTACCTCAAGAAGAAAGGGTCTGGATATGATCCTGGACTCATTGCTGAGCTTGGAATCCCAGGTTTTGGCGGTGACCAGGGGAGAATTTGCACAGTTAAAGCTTGTGCGCCAGCTGCACCTGTACCTTGGGAAATCTGGCTTGGCCACAGTAGTCCATGCTCTGGTTACATCCCGTATAGACTACTGCAATGCTCTCTACGTGAGGTTGACTTTGAAGACTGTCCGGAAGCTTCAATTGGTCCAACGGACGGCAGCCAGATTGTTAACAGGAGCAGCACTCAAGGAGCATACAACTCCTCTGTTGCACCAGCTCCAGTAGCTGCCGGTCTGCTACCGAGCACAGTTCAAAGTGCTGGCATTTGCAAATACTGTGTAACAGACATAGGAAATGGAATGGTTTGATGATGTGATTGGATGATGTTTTTAACGAGGAGATCCTAATGATACATGGTTTTATTGATTTTATTGACTCTGTTATGGTTTTATTATTCGATTATTTTATTGTATTGAAATTGTATTTTATGGTCTTGGTACCAACTGTAAACCGTACCGAGTCGCCTGCGGGCTGAGAGGGACAGTATATAAATGCAGCAAATAAATAAATAAATAAATAAATAATTGGAGCAGGATTTCTTATCCACACAACAATTAAACATGGAACACAGCCCTATCTACACAGCAGCTTAAAACACCAAAATACGGACATGAGACTGGGGGCCCTTCCACCCAGCCATATAACCCAGAATATCAAGGCAGAAAATTCCACAATATCTGCTTTGAATTGAGTTATCTGAGTCCACGCTGCCATATATTCAAGTTCAAAGCAGAAAATGTGGAATTTTATTCAGTAGTGTGGAAGGGGCCAGGGTTTCATTGAAATGATTCACCAAACCAAACTCAGAACAAAGCTCAAGAGATACTGTAATAGTTTGCTTCACTGTCTTTGAGAGAAAGGTCAATTTCATTTTATTATCATAGCAGATGATCTAAAAACTATAAATGCATTTCAGCCCCATATAAACATGCTATGCCAATGTATAATTCTGTATCAATAACATTTAAAAAATACTTTGTACTGATAGGAGGTGTAATGTTTTGAATTCTTTGAATTATGGCCTGCAAGCTTCCTGTTCTATCAGGCTCAAAACTCACTCATCAAGACAGAAATAGAAAGCTATTACTAACATGCAATTGGTTATTATTACAAAATGTCAACATCTTAATAACGTCTCTTGCAAAGGTGGATCACAAACAGAAAGAAAATTAAATAGGAAGTAGGCAAACATTACCTAATTTCCTCCTCAGCTGATAACTTTGAATTGTTTCATCCATTTCAGTTTTTTATTAGATTTAATTAATTCTTACACACATTCAAAAATGCATCGAAAAAGCAATGTGAATTCTGCTGATGCTTGCACTAAAGAGCTAAATTATATGATACATTAAATGCATAGTAGGCAGCTAAGCCTTTTCATTTTGCTTAAATTAAGGTAAATAAATCCCCACACAGAAATAGGGGGTATTTAAACATCCCTACCAGTCACCTACTTTCCTACATTTGCTAAATAATTAAAAATAATACATTTTGGACACTAGTGGTCCCAATCTATATTGGAGCTCCTCCAGCTTGCTTATAGGTAAACGAGGCTGCACTTACATACTGGTTATTTAATTTATTGTGTAATTTCTTGCTCAGAATTTGGAACTATGAATTAATTTGGCATGGAACTATGGCATGGCTGAATATACTTGAAAAAAATAGGAGTATTTTCTAGAGAGCAAGACAATTATGTGCACTATAGCCATAATCATTCCTCGAGTAATGAAGGAACCAGAAGTAGCCATGGAAACTAATTCATATTTCACAATGGAGATTTTCCCAGTAGTTCCTTTACAACACTGGAGATTTGTCAGACACATATAATGGCCCACCAGTTGGACTCAAAGCAATAATTAATAAGGGTTGTTTAGCATTGTATGCATACTCATTAAGCCACAAGCCTTCAATAAACAGTGTAATAACAGATTTGCCTCTGAGCATCCATACAATGAAAGATATGATGCAAGTGCATAGAGAATCAGAACTGCAGGAAGCTTTGTAGGGTAATCAATTCAAGAAATCCAGAGCTAAAGCAGCCTCAAGAAATATCTGTCCAGGCTCCACTTGAAGACCCACAGAAAGCGAATATATGCCAGACACCTCTGGATTATTGTTTTTATCTTTATCATCCTGCTCTTAAAATGTTAACAATTGTCTGCCAAAGGCCAGTGCAAACCTTTCCACATCTGTAGCTTGGGTCTATTGCTTTTCTTTTTCTTTTTAGGGACCAAAAAAATATATCCCAGTCTTAGAAATCCCTACCTCAGTTTGTACAATTATTGGTAAAAAATAAAGACTATTAAGCAAACTTGTCTTTAGCCAGTGAACTCAATATATTTTGTGCCTTTGGGCTGGATCATGACAATGTGTATTTGGATTCTGCTTCAGAGCCAACAGAGTCTATTCCTGTGTTTGAATGTATCTCTAGACCTTTTCACACACACTAATTATAGCAGTATTATTCCACTATATTGCCATGCCCGTGTCTTATGAAATAATGGAGAACTGCAATTTGGGACACTAAAGTTGCCATGGCATTTCAAGTAGAATCATACCGTTATAATTGTGTAGTCTGAAAGCCCTCCTCCCTTTTATGGATGCACACATACATATGCCCATATAAATAAATGTCAATTTAAATTTAATATGACACCTTAAAATAATAGTTTTAAAAAGCAAAAAAGAAAGTCAGTCTTTTTCAGTAGGTGATATGGCCAGTGAAAACAAAAATGAAACTGTGTGAGCTACTTCATTCAGCTCTGCCTTAGCGTATACAGGAGGACAAACAAACCAGTTTGTCTTCTAGGATGGAGCGTCCATGGCTCTTTTTCCTGGGGTATTTGTTGAATTCAAAAGCCCAGTGTATACAGAGGAGTGACATCTGCACATTAGAATTCTGAAGCACTGCTCACAAACACACACATGACCATCCTGGATGAAAAGCTGGCAGGGCATTACTTCAAAGAAACACAGGACTGCTTTGAAATCAAGAGGAAGGATAGGAGGTTAGCAGTAAAAGAAAGCCTGATCTATGAAATGCTATTTATTTTTATGTACAGCTTACCAGAAAGACACTGTAAGGACTTTTATTTAACCCCAACACGAATAGAGCAAGGAGACAGATACTGCTTTGAATTCCCTGCCTGTTAAGAAAATATTTCTATGAAAATAAGGTTGTTTTTAAAATATTGCTTTTGCAACTAATTCTGCAAGGAGGTGGCACAGCTAGCCCTGCATCCCTGCATCTACTATGTATTGCCCCTTTTACCAGCAGGTAAGGTAGGTGTTTAGGCAATAAGAACCTGATCCATATAGAAGATATGGTAGCCACCTAAGATAGTTGCATCAAATATCCATACTCAGAGGCATTACACTTCCAGCTTTCAAAAGCTGAGGAGAAGCAATTGTCACTTTCATTCAAACTGTTTCTGAGCTTCTACAGGCATTGTGTTAGACCACTTCAGTCATAATAGCTGGTGTGATCCAGTAAGCCAATGCTATATTGTTAAGTGTTTCTGAAGCCATCTGAATAAAAATTTCATGGACCGACCACCAAGCTACTTCTGTAACCTGCATTACTTCCTGTAACCTGTATTACTAATGAGTTGTTGCTATCTGCACTTTTCACTTGGACATTTTGCCTGTTTTGTTATCTAATGTATTTTTAATAAAAATTTCTGTTAAGTAAAAACATAAGCGTTCAGAAACTAGGAAATAACAGCAATTCTGGAGTTGGGAGTTTTCACTGGGAAAAAATGAAGATCTAGCCTGCTTTACTACACCTCCATATTTGATCTTGTATGAAAACGAATATGTGAACACGTTCAGTTGGAAATAGTTACTTGATTCAATTAAACATCTTTCTCACCTTATCCAGTTTGGCTTTTATTGTTGGCAATATTTTTATTCATTTTGTCTTGATTCAGAATTTGTCTTGTTCTGATTCTTATTCTCTTGATGTTTCTTCCAAAATTTATTTAGAGACCCCTCCAAACTACACCGTTAAAACATGATGATTCCATTTTCACTTCCATACTTCCAACCAATGAAATCCTAGAATTGGGAATTGAGAAGGGAGCATTTTCCCTTCTAAGAGCTCCTTTCGTGCCTCTGATTAAACTACAAATCCCAGGATTCCATAAGATGGAGTCATGGAAACATAACACTAGACTTGTTTGCAGGCGACCCTGGTTCATGAGAAATCTATTCTGTCCTAAGCCATTCGTTGACTTATCCATTTCATTTGCCAAAGGATCATATTGCTATCCTTGGGATTAGAGAGCCGTTCGTCTTTATTACTAAAATCCTATCCTTAAAACAAGAAGCGAATGAATATGTTGGATGTGCTGTGGGATATTATAAGATTATACACTACTCTTTTTATTATTTGTCTTAAATATCACTACATGCAAATTTGTAATAACAGGAAGAGATTACAGTTTTCAAATTGTAATTTGCTCAGCTGCAATTATGGCAAGTGGCTCATGGGATTTCATTTCTCCTGCAGACATACAGTTTAAATGATTAACCATTTCTCCTATTGCTAGAGTTGTAAAGTTCTCCATTTTCTTCTAATTAGCATGTCAATGACTGATTGGGCTGGAAACGGAACTCATTTCAGAAATCATAATCACTGCAGTCAAATTGCTCTGAGGTCATAGGACAATTTGAAGTGTCATCTTACACCAATGAATAACTGGATTTACAGGAGACAAATGCATACAATTAATCAGTAGCAGAATTATCAGTGTAGTCATTCATCTGAGACATGACAATGTGTGTACTTACAAATTTTATAATTGTTATATCCCTGCCTACAAAATGGTTGGTTAAAATAAATAAGAGATTGAGGGTTTTATTAACATCCAGACGACCCAAAACTAATTCTACAGATGCCTGTTATACATTATGTGAATGCTATATATCTTTATTGATCTGTAAGAACATGGAAAAAGCAACTAGTTGGCAAACAGCCATATCCAAAAACCACTATCTTCATTTTATGAAAAGTGCACTTTCATTAAGCCTAATATTTTCCTGGTGCTCATCTTTATCACATTGTTCTGATCAGTCACGGAGTCACTCAGACAAGTATTTCACATCTGAAGTCCTCCACTAAGCTAATGCAAGGAAATTTTTAGTATTGCTCATGTATAATTCATCAGTTTTACACTCTGAATTAACTGATTATACATTAAAAAACTAGGCTTATTTTAACAAAAAGAGATCAGCCATGCTATGAATGTGGCATTTCACAATAGCTTTAGTCCAGAAAATGGGAATAGTGCAAGCCACAGGGGTCTGGTGTGGCCCTTGGGGCCACTACTGACCCACCAATTCTGCAACACACACACACACCCCAAAGGATTGACATAAAATAATCTGTCCTGACAGAAGAAAAACCCTCAATGTTTTTGAACACTGAACCCTGTTATTTTAGTGGTGCCCTCCACCCTGAAACAGCCCCAGAAGGTGCCTAGCTGTGACACAACATCCCTCTGGTCATTAACATGGGTGCCAACAGCATAGCAGCAGTACTCCAGAGCTCTAGAGAAGCCCAAACCAGCTGGTATAGGCCTCCTGGAGCTGCAGAATTCATAACAAACTCTGCTGGGTCCAACCTAATACAAACTATACCACAGACCACATCTACACAGGCATGTTATCCCAGGGCTGATCCAGTTTACTGCTGCTGGTTGACCACCATTACTATCTCCTTCCTACTGATTGCAGTGGCAACCACCAACTGCACAATTGTTGGTGGCTATCACTTGTTGCCTGGAGTGATGTTGACCAGAGTGCTAGAGCAATGCGGGGGAGTCATTTTGTGGCTGGTGGTCAAAATGGGGACAATAAATGCCATTTTGTGTCCCTGGGCTGCCTAAGCCCAGGGAATATGGAATGAGCATGTAAACAATTGTGGCTGGTTTTGTATTGGAACCATTCCAAATAGTTTACATAGACAGGGTATGGATTGCTCCAAATTTCTGGGAAATGGCAGAGCAACCAGCAACTTTTCTTAACACTGTTCAATGCTGTGTTAACCCAAATCAGCTCCGTGTGTCATGTAGATGCCATGGAGCTAATTTGCCCCTCCTTTCAGAGTTAAATGTCTTTGTAGATGGGCTACTGCGTGCGAAACAAATGCTGAGATTTCATATGAAATTTTAGAAATCAGAGTTCAACTCATTATTTAACTGCCAGAAATATAGAGGCAAATAAAATATCAACAAGCAGTCTAAATATCATGCAAGTGGATGCCCACTATAAAAACATGAAAGGGTTTTTAATTCTTTTATGTCCAGTTTTGAGGAGTTTGTTAATTGTTAGGATTTTAACTTTGGTTATCAGTTTTTAAAAAAAAATCTGCAGTGGGCGCAGGGCCACTACTGTACCTTTTTCTATTGTACAGGAGATATATGCCAAGCAACAGTGCCAATCTCTGTGGTGACTACTGTTGGATGACTCTCCACAGTGAGATCAATTTGGTTGGCATCTGTGAATTGTACTTCCTCTATAAACCTTTGACTGCAATCTTCAATTTCTAATTCAGCATGATGCTGTAAAATACAGCCCTTTTCAAAAAGTTCAAAGTTCATCAGTTAGTTGTTCTCATAAAGGAATATGTAATGGGGTAGGGAACACATAACAGGTTGCATATGTTGACTCTTCAACAACTCAACAACAGATCAACATAATGTTAGAGGGGTTTTTTTAATAAAAGGATTTTCAGCTGCTAACCCACTATAGATTGTATAACCATTTGCACATACAAAGGTCATGCTTCAACTACAGGGAATAGAAAGCAATCTTGCTTCCACACAAATATAAGCCTTAGCCTTATCTGATTCAGGATGACAGCCCCAAACATCCTGATTTAGTAGATAAAAATAATGTTCTTTTCCTCACAAATATGCAAACAAAAGTTGTGAGAAAATCTGTAAAAAAAAAGAATAACAAAAGAACATATTCAACACATTTACATTTTATATTAAGGTTTGTTTCCCACAATTTCTTGAAATTATAGAGTAACATGAACCCCTCCCTCCCAAAAAGTTAAACATATGTTGCGAGTGTGAGCTACACACTAGTATAGAAGATATGACAGATTCTAGCTGAAATGTTTAAGCTTACTGCCATCAAATCTCACTGCCTAGAAGTATGAGACGCCTTTGAAATTCAAAGAACAAAGCTGGGTGAAAATACTTGATATTGATACCCAATATTTTCATACCCACAAAAGAAATCCCCCCTCCTTGCATTTCCTCTTCATCTCTCCAGATCTCAGAAAGAGTTCAGAGCAGATTTAGTAAAGCATGTGAGAAGAACAGAAAATAAATTCCGCTTAAAATGTTCAGTCTACTAACACAGAGACACAGCCAGATACAATACTTAGCTTAAAATGGCTTATATTAGCTATATGCATGCATTGTTATGTATGCATAATATAAGTAAATGTAGCGGAATAAGTAAATACCAGCAAAATTAGAAAAAATAGTGAATATGAAATATTTTAACCATAAATTGCAGTTTGTCAAAAAGGAGGTTGTTTCTCATTGTTTTTTTTAAAAAACTGAACACTGTCGGTATCTTTTAGGAATACAAATTCAATAATCTCTGCATCAGGGTTTTTTTTTTAGTCCCCTGCATTAAAATTTAACATGTTTTAAGTTGTCAATACAGAGTTTACATTCAGCCCAAAATAGAGAAAAATATATATTTATATTTTATTTTTTTCTTTTAAAAGGGGTGAGAATTAATTAAGCCTGGCCTTGATTAATTGAGTCTATAGCCGGTCTGGCCCTGACCTGCCACTGGAGAAAAAGAAAACACCTTATTAGATACACCTGCAGGATTTGGCTCTGCCCCGACCAATTTGTAAAAGGGAGCTTTCATGACTGCGACACACAAAATCATTCAATGAGCACTTTGTACAGCCTGCTTGCATATGAAGTTAGAGAATACTTCACTGTGTCAATAAAAGTGAATAGCCCTTTCAGATTCAGAAATCAAATGAGTTCTTTTCCTCAGCCATTTCTACATAAAAACAAGATGTCAAGATAATCAGTTGATTTCCCAGATAAATTGAAATTTTTGCCTTATGACTTATCATAAAGGATGGCACTGTTTGAGTCTCCATTACAAAGGCCTCATTCTATCAAAGTGTGTTCTACAAAATCAGCACATGCTGGACACAAACTATTTTACTGTTTAACCTCCTGTATAACGTGACTTCACATATAAGTTGACAAAAGTTTTTTTGTGACAAAATTATAAACTTTGATATGAACCACAGATAAGTCATAGGGAAACACCTTAGGGGGGCAAATCCCCCTGGCTGCTTCCTTCACTATTTTCCCATCCAGGCATTCAAAAGGGCCCTTCACCACTCTGCTCAGAAAAAGAGATGGTTTCATTAAAGTACTATAATTGTGTAGTGTGAAAGGGGTATTAAATAACGGTGTCCACAAACCTCTACCTAAAGCTACCCATCAGAGCAATTGAAATATTAATATGTGGACAACACAGGCTCTCTCTCAATTAACCACACCAGTTCCGTCTTCCAAATGCTTTTGAAGAATACTTACTTTGAACAATGTAGCTTAAACAAGATCATTAGCATCAAATAATCCTTCTCAATAAATAAATCCCTTTACATTAATGTATCTCACTATTCATCCCATTCTTATTTAATAATTAGCAGCATGCAGCTAACCTTTGTGTTTCCCCTTTTTCTCCTGTCTGGTGTTGCCAGTTTGGCAACCTCCTGTGGCTGCCTTGGTTTTTTTAGTTGATTTTGGAGCTTGTGAGTCTGCTACCACCTTTACATCTTCTGGCTCAGCCTCCTGCACTGCTTGAGCGATTCAGGACACCCCAATCAAAGAAACATACAAACAAGAGAGAGAGAGAGAGAGAGAGAGACCAAGACAAAGAAAACAAGAGAGAAAATAAGGGAGAGAAAGAATAAGAAATACATGAAGCCACAGGGAGGTAAGCAAAGCAGATTATAAAAGTATGTTTCAGTTAGTCAAACAAAAAGAAAATGGCAAGACAAAGGGTTTCTACACATTGAACATTTCTTAGGTGGATTTCCAAAATTCAAAATACTCCAAAGTCCAAAAGTGTCCACATGGATGGCTAAAGTTGTGACCTTTGCTTTCTGATTGTTAAAATGTGCATAAACTTTGTTTCATGCATTAAAATGTTTACAATGATGTGTGTAAAGTGCATATGAAACATAAATGAATTTCTTGTGTAGTCTTGGGTCCCATCTCCAAGATATCCCATTATGTCCATAGATAAGTTAAACTGCATTATTTGAGTCTACACTGACCTATAATGGCACTTCACACTGCATTATATGATAGTGTAGTGATAGGACCCTGGTGAGTTCTTCCCCAAAGTAAAATGGAGTATTAAAGTGTTTTGAGTATCAACTGATTTGCATGTGTAGCTACATTGCTCATTTTAAGAAAAACACACACTTTTTATGACAATCTATTACTTGCCTTCCTATTATGCCAGTAATTTTTTCATTTAAGTAGCACTAGCCTGAAGCTAAAATAATCTATTAATATGAGTCGTAGCTTGAAGATTTAGTTCTGACAGAAGAGAACACTCTGAGTAGTTGTCAAAGCCTGAATTTTAATAAATACATATGACCTTGTCAAACAAGAGCTGAAACACTCTACATTACTTTATGTGATAAACGATCCATATCATAGCTGTCTCATATCCTTGGTGATAAAATCAGCAAAATTAGGCTGCATTCCTATGCACACTTACCTAAGGACTCAAGAACTTGAAAGGGCTTACATCTGACTAAATGTGCTTGGATTGCATTGTAAATGCCTCATAATTATGACAGAATTGAAATCTATTATACCAAGAGTCTGCAAACTAAGACCCGAGGGCCGGATACGGCCCTCCAAGGTCATTTACCTGGCCTTTGCTCTGGGTCAACCTAAGTCTGAAACAACTTGAAAGCACACAACAACAACAATCCTATCTCATCAGCCAACAACAGCCAACACTTCCCATTGAAATAGTAATAAGTTTATATTTGCTAAAATTGTTCTTCATTTTAATTATTGTATTGTTTTAAAGTGGTTTTTTTGCACTATAAATAAGATATGTGCAGTGTGCATAGGAATTCATTCATGCTTTTTTCAAATTATGATCCGGCCTTCCAACACTTTGAGGGACTGTGACCTGGCCCACTGTTTAAAAAGTTTGAGGACCCCTGCATTATACAATAAGAAGCTATTTCATAAAGATTAATTCCATTGCATCACTAAAATAAAGCCATAACTAACAAAGTGCCATCTTTTAAAAGCACATATTAAATTTCTAGCTATTTCTTTCTGTTTCAGATGTAAGGACTATAAAATCAAGAAAAACAAAGACCACCTATCCATTTCCCTTACACATAAGCAACTACACATCCTCCCAAAAGATTTGCATCCTTGTTCATGTGTGAATATATCAGTATAATCTTAGCTACACATAGTGAACACTCACAAATCTTCCCGCAATCCATTAGGTGAAAAAAAATTAATGCTGCAGAAATGGCTTGCAGCTGTCTACACAAATGGATCTGCTGAAAACCTGATATGTAACTATTCCTTCTAACATGAGCTATGGGGCCACAGGTGCTCATATCCACTGCTCTCTAACTATCAACTAACCCCCGGTTAACAAGTTAAAATGTATTCAGGCATATTTTACTTCATTATAGTAAACTTGCTACCTCTGTTAAAAAGGCATGCACAATAAAAATACCATGAAGGTAGTATCCAAGTTGAAACACAAAATTCATTTATGTTTCATAAATGCCTTATACATGTAACCTGAGGGTAATTTTACACACAATCTTTTAATATTTTTGTGCAAAGAGAAATATTTTTTATATACTGAACTGTCAGAAAGCAAAGGTGTCACTATCTAAGGCACCTATGTGGACCATTTTGGGGTTTGCCATATTTCAAATTTTGGAATTCTGGATAAGGAACACTCAATCTGCATTCGCTGTATAAGAAATGAAACTTGCACACTTCACGGATCTTTTGAAAGAAAGGAAGTTCCAGGCATCAATAGGGTGTGAGGTGGTTTTCTGTCATAAAGAATCACATGATAAGAGACAGAAGGACCCTTCAGTTGTATTCCTGCCATCCACATATTGGGAGTGGGATGCAGAAAATGTGTAGAGAAGAATCTGATACTATACTATATAAAGTCTCCTCCTCTGATTAGGAATCCTGAACAATCTGGGTTTCACATCACTGGTTAAGGCCCTGCCATAGACACCAAGCTTGCCTGTACATGTGTTCCACTCCCATATTTCAGGCACTGAGATTTGACAGTCCTTCTTTCTTTTTTGATACAATTGTTCTACTTTGCCGAATAGAAATATTGTCTTCTTACAACTCAAGAAAAGGCTACAGCAGGCAAAAATATAAGTCAAATCAGAGCCTGGAAAAATTGTATTTCCAAAGAATGTAAAGGCAAACTATCAGTCAAATGCACTTAACATTCAAACATCTGATCATTCATATGTAAACTGTAGCTAAGCTGTAATTAAAATGGCAAGTGTGATTCTGAAGTTTTTCAGTGCTGTAATTATTTCTTTTTCCTATCATATGTGACAAGGAAAAGAGAGCACCAATTTAGACTTTAAGAAGCATATATTATTGCCAAAAATAAGAATATTTTTGCAAGGTAATAAACCATTTTATAGTATAATTAAATAGAAGGAAATTAGGCTTTTGATAATTATAAGCAGGTTGCTGGAAGGAGATGATCTCAAGTTTTTATTGGGCTGCAAGCAAATGATGGCATAACAAGAACTTAAAATATTATGAAGATAGATATAAATTCAAGAATAAGTGATTACTCACTAGCAGCTTTTGGGACAGCAGTGACATTGCAGTGTACCACTAAATGCTCTTCAGTGCCTGAATTAAAATGGTTCATGTGTACACAATAGGGGGTGGAGGTGGGGTTCTAGAAAGATACTCAGTTACTGATGGTGCATTTAATAAAAGGATGAGTTTTAATGGAAAAAAGAGGATTATCATGAAAGACAAAAAACCTCCTGAAAATTTTATGAAGTCAACTTACTACAAAATCTAGAGAAGAAATGTTGATTCTGTTGACAATTTATCCTCTTTTATATTGTATAAAAGCCATGTTTTGAATGTCTGCCTAAAAACCACCATAAATTCATTACTAAAACATATCCCAAATGCATTCCTCACCTTTTTAGCAGAATCCTACCCCAACAAAGATAAAAGTTCAATACTTTCAGAATGAAGAACAATGGATGCATCTGCTGTTTCAAAAATACCTGTCACTTTCACAGTGAACCTTTCCCTTCCACACCCTATTTTACACAACAGAAAAAAGAATCACAATATTCTTTGATGAAATACTGAAATAGGTTTTAAAGGGGGATTAAACATATGCACAGATTATACAGCTGTGAGAAAATAACTGTCACGCATTTAGGTTAATTTCTGCATGCCTTCCAGTCATTTCTGATTTATGTCAATGCCAAAGCAATCCTATTTTGGGGTTTTCTTGGCAGATTTTGTTCAGAAGGAGTTTGTCCTTGCTTTCTCCTAGGCTGAAAGAAAGTATGACTTGCTGAGGTTTCCACAGCTGAATGGGGATTTGAATCCTGGTCTCCCAGTGTCCTAGTTCAATACTGAAACCATTATATCACACTAGCTGTCTTTAAATGAATAGTTTACAAAATTAGCATTAGTGTTTGGGTTTAAGTCGATTCTTTTTTTTCTTACTTTTCTCCATTAAATTATGGTTATTCCCACTGTATACATCAGTCTACTTCCATTTATTGCTAGGACATCAAACCCCCATCCAACATATTCATGTTGCAATAAACTGGTATATACCATGGTAAATGGTGCTGCTGTTGCTGTTGAGGTAAGATTCAACCAAAGGTGCTTGTTCTTCGGATTGTTTCATCCGGCGTGCCCTGGCACGACTGTCCACATTGGACTGAACCATGAGTGGTTCCTGACGTTTTTTCTTCTGTTTCTGCTCTAGTAAAGCTCTCTAGGAAGAAGACAAAGAGACACACACAGAAAAAATCCGTCATATTAAATGTTAACATTAATGTGGAAAACCGTGGGCAGAAAGGTTCCCAGAGTCTCTCACGGGTTGATGTACTGAATTAAGCGATATTAGGTTTGACACTAACACCCACCACAGCTCTGCAGCAATCCATTTATCTTGCTACTATTATGTAAACTAGGACACCGAGACAAGTCTTTTTAGGCATCATCTTTATAACCCAAAGTAGAGAACACACCCAGGGTTGCAAGCAAAGATGAACAGTTTCATTAATAGCAATGCATCTGAGATACGGGAATGCTTGGACTAAATCAGGGGTCCTCAAACTAAGGCCTGGGGGCTGGATGCGGCCCTCCAAGGTCATTTACCCGGCCCTCACTCAGAGTCAACCTAAGTCTGAAACGACTTGAAAGCACATAACAACAACAACAATCCTATCTCGTCAGCCAAAAGCAGTCCCACATTTCCCATTAAAATACCAATAAGTTTATATTTGTTAACACTGTTCCTCATTTTAATTATTGTATTGTTTTTAAGTGTTCTTTACACTACAAATAAGGTATGTGCAGCGTGCATAGGAATTCATGGTGGGGGTTTTTTTTCCAAATATTAATCTGGCCCTCCAACAGTTTGAGGGACTGTGACCTGGACCTCTGTTTAAAAAGTTTGTGGACCCCTGGACTAAATGGTACGAATAGAACAAAATTTAAATGAAAAGTGTTTGTCCATCTTTAGGCTATGCAAACCCATATAGTAGACCTAAGTCACCAATTTACATACTTTATAATGGAGTAAAATGAACACAGTAGCAAGGTTTTGGATCTGACTCATCAACTACTTTGTGTAGCTCTTGAACAAAAACATTGGACTTCTATATTTCTTATGCTCAACTAGATATTTACAACCCAATTTTGAACGAATGAGATATTTATTCTGAGGTTGATAACTAGAGTTCCCAGAAATCAGGGCCTGGCTCTGAGTTTCAGTGCCTAGATCTTAGGTCTCAATGTGATAGGAGAAATCATAGTGTGAGAGTGCTGCCTTGTAAAGAAAAATAATCTTGTTGTGTGCTAATCATTGATCCTGCTGTTGAAGGCTGCTTCATAATGGCAACTGAAGAATGAATGCAGTTTAACACCATTTTACTTACCATGACTCAATACTATGGAATCGGGGGCTGTCATTTGGTGAGGCACCAATACTCCTTGGCAGAGAAGAGTAAATACCTTGTAAAACTACAACCCCCATGATTCCATAGTATTGACCCATGGCAATTAAAGCGATGACACCGTATTCATGCTACATTATAAAAACTGACTACAATGAACTAGAGAAAGTGCAGACTATGGAACATATATGGTCTCGTGCCCTTTTTTAAAAAAAACAATTTGTTTTTCCTTACATGTCCTTAAAATTCCCATTTTATTTACACTTCTGAGCCCACAAGCTGTTTTAAGCCCAGGAATTTTTTTGTTTCCAATAGGAACTGTGGCACATGTTTCTCTTGGCCATATAATGTCACAGAAAGCCAAAAACTTGGAGACATTGGCATAATTATGGGACACAGAAAAAGTATTAACTGAGTCCAGAAATTTGAGAAACAAAAAATCTGATTTTTTTAAAAAAAATCAGATTCTAATAATCATATTAGATCAAAATCTAATTTAAAAACCAATATTAAAATCATGGCCCAGTGTAAAAATGATCTATGCAGAATAAATTATTCCAGTTTATTTCAGTACTCTATTTCAGTTCTCAGTCACTAAGTAGATTTTATAGCCAGGAAGGAAAGAACTTATTTCCCAGCTGGATGGTTCTCTCTTTCCAGATGTCCCCACATTTATGTTATGGCAGTATATACTACATATTTATGAGGTGTGTCTCAGCTTGAGCAACTCAAAATTTCCACATTCAAAGCATACATGTAATTTTAAACAGCCCAGTGACATATTCGCCTCCCACTATTTTGTGTTCATTCGGTTTCTTGGGAGTGTATAACTTCCCTTTGCTGTGCAGAATAAAAAGAGATAAGTAATGAAAGCAATGTATTTTTAACCCAGGATCCTCATGCTGGGATCCTACACCCACACAGTATTCACATCAGTCAAAGTGACTTCCCTGTGATGAATAAGTTAAGTTCCAAAGGAACCTAATGCACTTATGTGGCTTGTTCGGTGTCAGTGGAACACAAACAAGATATATACAATTGCAGGAATGTGAGGAAGAATTCTGAAGTCACAAACCCTCAAACTGAGATCTACAATAGGATAGGAAAAAATAACACTTGTATTTAAAAGTAAAAAATATTGGCATTTTACAGCCTCTCTGACAATGTTACATTTAATTACATGTTAAATATAACTGATTTCTCACAGTCCCCGGGGTTACAAAGAAGATAGGTTCTGTAGGTTTGTTCTAAGCTGAATTTGTATGTAAGTCAGAACAGGTACATTTTTAAGTGTAATCTCAGCCCCAAATTATTATTATTATTTTTAATTTTGGATAGCAAAGGGAAGGATTATCTGTTTTGCTACCTGTGCCCCTGTCCAGAAGATTTAATCTCACTTTCTGTCTCTGTGATAATTGGATTTTGAAAATTCTGGATTGTTGTGGAAACAAGGATTGATGCCAAAGATTCAGTTGAGACACCTTTTCCCCATAACTCTTACAGGAGTGAATTTCCCTTACTAGGGTTAGATTTTACAAACTGAGACGAGCTCTAAGATCTGCCATGTAGGTTCTCCTCTCAGTCCCGCCTCAGTCTCAAGTATGGTTGATGGGGACAAGGGAGAGGGCCTTCTCGGTGGTGGTCCACCCCAGGGAACTTAGACAAGCCCCCAAACTACAGCACTTTTGGAAAGAGCTAATAATTTGGCTCTTTCAGCAGGCTTTTGAAAAACTGATTGTATGGGCCTTTGATCAATGGCTACTGCTATATTTTAATGATTCTATTGCTCTTGTTAATTTTATATGTCTTGTTTTAAACGTGTTATGGGTTTTAATGTTAATATATTGTATTTTACATGTTGTATGGCACCATTGTGTGCTATTTGTAAGCCTCCCCGAGTCCCTATGGGAGATGGTGGCGTTGTATACATAAAATTTATTATTATTAGACTTTTCTCTCATTTCCTGTTGTCTCACCCTCATTTGTAACCAAGAGTCATATGTAAGTTGGATGTTTGTAACTGCCTCTATTTACCTCTTGTAATACCCTCCATTATTGTGATCACAGGAAGTTTTATTTGGTGAAGCATTTAGGATATCTAAGTGTGCATCTCCATTGTAGAATGAATGCAGTTGGACACCACTTGAACTGCCACGATTCAATTGTATGGAATCGTAAGAGCTATAGTTTGGTGAGACATCAGTACTATTTGGCAGAGAAGGTTAAAGATCTTGTGACACCACAACTCCCATGATTTCATAGCAATGAGTCATGGCAGTTAAAGTGAAGGTAAACTGCATTAATTCATAGATATAGATAAACCCTAAATTAGATTAAATCTTTGAACAAACTCATTTGTAAAAGTTTTTCATTTGTCAGGCACAAACACATAGAATATAAAAGGATCTCACAATTCTGAAGTACTGATTTTTTCCTGAAAAAGAATATTTAACAATTCTCAACTATACACACACGTGTGCACGCACACACACACACATATACATAGCTTTGTTATTCCAAAGAAATGTTGCAATGTCTCACTATCGTTTGATGTTGTTGTTTAATATACTTTATTTGATTTATGATTGTTTTATTTCTGTTTGCTACTGTTGCTGTGAACCGCCGGAGTCCCCATGGGGAGATAGGGTGGGATATAAATAAAGTTATATTATTGTTGTTGTAGTTGTTGTTATTGTTTTAAGAAATCCAATTACTCAAACACCATCTATCACAATGAAATGACTTTAAAAAAGCCACAAGGATGGCTTACCATACCCACCTGTCTGTCAAGCTTTTGTTGTCGCAGATTGCTGCTCTCATCATCTAAAACACTGTCAAGATAAAAACAAAATAATTTATTGGGCTAGTAATAGAGGAACATCTTGAAGCAGTTCATCAGGAAAGGCTGCATCCATGATTCTTTAGCACTGAGTCATAACAGTTAAAGTGGTGTCAAACTGCATTGGTTCTGCAGTGTAGATCCACTTTTGTCACTCCTGTCAAAGCAAGAGACATCCCTCCCTACCTTCCCCCAGCCACCATCTCTGCATTCCCAATGGTGCATAACCATTGCGAAGAAAGAGGAAAATCACATTTTCATGCTGTGAATAACAGAATCCATAAACATATTCCATGGATATGGAGAGCCAGCTGTACAGTATAATAATTTATTTTATGTATTTATTTACTATACTTTACCCTGCTCTCTCACACCCCGAAGGGGACTCAGAGCGGCTTCCAAGTTGGCAATATTCAATGTCATACACACAACAAACAGATACAATATATACACACAATAAAATCATTAAAAATTTAAAAAACATAGCATATTAATACAAGCATGAGGCATGTCCTCTAAATGGAACAGCATTTTTGAAAACCATTACCTTTCAAAACAAATTAATGATAACATTTCCTCCTCAAGCAAAGAACCAACATAGAGCTAAAACTATGTATATTCTCATATATAAGTCAACCAATACACTTTGGCAGAGAAGGCTAAAGACCTTGTGAAACTACAAATCCTATTTGTTGTTGTTCATTCATTCAGTTGTTTCTGACTCTTCGTGATCTCATGAACCAGCCCACGCCAGAGCTCCCTGTCGGCCGTCACCACCCTCAGCTCCTTCAAGGTCAATCCAGTCACAAATCCTATTACTCTACAGCATTGAACCATGGCAGTTAAAGTGGTCTCAAACTGCACTGATGCTACAGTGTAATTGCAGGCTCAATGAAACTAACTTCTGAATAAAAATCTTGGGTAATGACTTGCAAACTAACTACAGTTAATTAATTATCCTTTGCAATATTATGTGTATAACTAACACTACATTACAGTTGTTGTGTAATAATCCACCCCCTCCCCCACCCCCACCCCAAAGTTTTAGGGTTTTGTTGTTGATGTTGTTTTGTTTTGTTTTTTTGTTTTTTTGCAGTATACATTGAATGATTTGAAGCAATGTTTATAGTTACAGGAAGGCTGCAGCCTTATTGCGTTCAGTACAACAGGAAAGCTACATGTTTTGGTGCATAAAATCTGTATTAGGTTAATGGAAATTGTTTATAACTTCAATATCACAAGTTTGAAGTTCATAGAGAGAGTATATCATTGCCCGGTAATGAAATGAATAATCATAGAATTTCCTGCTACAAGGTTTTGATATGTTTACATAACCACGAATTCATAGTACTAATACCATCATTGTTACAAGAGCTTTTAAACAGTACCTTAGATAACCCTATTTAGTGTCAATTTACTGCATTTGTTAAAATGTTAAAATGCAAATCCAATATCTGAATAACTTTTGGCAAAAGTATATGGGATCATTTAATTTTTGTATCCTGTGGTAACAGCAATGGTGAAAATGAGGTAAGAATTTGGCCTTTAAGCACATTTCTGTTTTTTGAAGTAGGTCAGTCTCTGCAGGGATGCTAGTACCACATCATTATTATCATTGTTGAAGGGACAGCCATTCCCCCTTGAGCTAGTGACTAATGACACTTTATTCCATTTTTTCCTGGACTCCCTAATGCAGAGGCTAGGGATTCGAAGACCGGTCAGATAAGTCACGGAAGGGATGTTTGTAATTTTAGAAATACAGGCTTCAAAGACTTGAAAAGGCTTATAGAACATCTGCAGAAAACATTCATAAGGATTGTTTTTGGGAAATATATTTTATAGCAACATTTGTAAGAATTTTACAGGTACAGAGGACAGAAAAATCAGCTGGCACAGAATCTACTGCAACCATATGACAACGTACATAGCCTCGCAGATGATACAGATTGTTAAGTCTGCTGAGGAGTCACCCTGTGGGATGCAGAAACTGGAACATCAGTAGTTCCAGCTGTTGCTTAAGAATCCTTGCATTTTCATGACTGCAATGAGGGAAAACCTGATATGATGATACAATAGCGGGAGAGGGGCACTCTCCATCACCCATCTTCTCTTCTTTTGCTGGACGCAGGCCCGTAGCCAGGATTTCGTTTCGGGGGGGGGCTGAATTTTTTTCAGGGGGGTTTTCAGGGGGGCTGAGTTTCGAGGGGGGGGGCTGAGTCTGAGTGAAAGAGGGTCTACCCTAGCAAACCTTTTGTATCATTACCCCAATACCCCCATGCATATGGGATATATTGAGTATGGTGATCAGATCATGATATGAATAAACATAACAGTTTAAGTAATGCACCAGTAAGGCCTTTTTGCGAACCACCATGAGAATTTCGGGGGGGGGGGGGCTGAAGCCGGCTACATGCCTGGCTGGACAGTACATAGAAAATCGATTGGGCTGGCTCATGTTTTCGAACAATGTACTGTGAAGATTGTTAATACTTGGTTTAAAATGAAAACAGAAGTTTCACTCCTTTATTATGAATTAGCAAGCTTCACATTTGATACTGGGACAGAACTGTTGGGAATAGCGCCATTGTGTGAGAAAAATTGTTACATTTTCCTGGAAGGCTCCAAGGAGACGCTGAAAAAGAAAACACCTTTCTGACCATCATGGCAGTAAAGCCATGGGACTCTGACAGTACAAACAATGACTCTGTTCTTTTCCAAATCATCACAGATTTACACTTCCATTTCATTTTAAACATTAGATACATAAGTAGATAGAAAGGTGAAAGTATCCCTTGGAATTAGGTATTCATCCATGATTTGTAAGCACTGCCTCTATATACAATCAGCTTTGCCTTTTTCAGAAAATAACCAGAAATCATGAAGTAGCCAAGGTTTAATATTAAAATTGTGAATGGAATGGCAGCCATTTACAACCTAACTACACTGTCACAAGCACCTAGCCTTTCTAGTAGCTGCAGCAGGTTTTCAACCCAAGGATTGAATGCTGAAGACCACAGATTGTTATAAGCCAGTGGTTCTCAACCTGTGGGTCCCAGATGTTTTGGTCTTCAACTTGCAGAAATCCCAACAGCTGGTAAACTGGCTGGGATTTCTGGGAGTTGTAGTCCAATACCGTAACCCTAACCCAAAACACCCAGGACCCACACGTTGAGAACCACTGTTATGAACATTAAGCAATAAGCTTCCAAAGCAACTGAATGCTTCCCAATCTGATGAATCCACATAACTGAAGGAGCAAACAGGCATTTGACTGGCTTCCATAAATTATCTGCCCTAAGGCCCATCCAGACATGGCCTTTAGTGTGGGAACTCCCGCAATAAAGGGGGGGCTGTCGAGACAACATTCTGGACAGTCCCACATTAATTTGCTACAAACCAGAAAAACCTTAGTTTGTATTGAATTAATTTGATAGTGCATTTATTCCACACCTTCTTGGAAGGCACGGAATAAACGCACTATTTCTGGGTCTAGACTACAGAATACTGCAGTCCAAAGAGTATTACCACATTTATTGGGCTAAATAAGCCCAGTAAACTGTGGGAATACCCACCCCCTCCCTCCAAGCCCCTAGATCCCTTAGAAAACTAAGAAAAACTTAAGTGCCCTCCATTAGAAGCCCTGGCGAGTTCCCCCAGTGCATAGAAATGACGCGCCAGGAGAAGGGGGGGGGGGAGGAAAATTGCAACCCCCCTTGCTCTCCTGGCACATTATTAACGCCTTCTACTGTCTCCGCCATGGTGCCACTCTGAATGGCTGGATGGCAAAATGGCAGCAGGGTCTGTCGTCCCTTGAGGGAGCATTAGCACTTTCCACTCCCCAGAGAATGATGCTTGACTTATCAAAATCCATAGTTTTGCCTCCAAAATATGTCCTCAACTTATACATGAGTATATATGGTAGCTATATTACCAATGAAACTGGTTGAAGTCACATTGCATTGACCCCAGATCAAACTGACACATGTAGTATTTGTTTTTTCAGAAAAGTATTAACGTGCAGTGATGTACAAAAACAGATAGAGAAGCCTATTTTTTGTGCAGGATAAAGAACTGAGCCCTCCTCATTCTAAAAATCTTTTCTAACCCAATGTAAATTCCAGGCACATCAGGAAAGCTTGGTATATATGAGGATTTCATTTCATTCTAAGCAGGCTCATGACAGTTTAAACAAAAAGTCTATGTGAGGCTTGTCTACTCAGCCCTTATTCCAAAGCGACCCTGAAGTCACTTCTGGATATCCAAATAATGTCCAGGGACTTTCAGTCATTAACATATGGTAAACTGAGTTAACCATCTATATTTTAGCATGAGCTTTCATAATTGCAATCGTTTCTTCAGTTGCCTAGATGCAATACATTTGACAAGTCACAAGTGTTTAGACACAGTTGCATCATTGTAAGGGTGAGATCGGAGTGTAAGGGAATACAGAAAGAAACATCCTTTATCCCATTTCACTCTTATCGCACTTTTACAACTATGTCGCTGTGTTTAAAATGTCTATGGCTTATATTCCAGTTATGCTTTTGAAGGTATGGACTGAATCAGTGAAGGTTTATGATTTTAAAAATAAGTTAGACTTAAAAGTGCCACTAATTCTCCATCCGCTTTTGTCTTTCTGAATTCCTCTTATTGTTTCTGTTATTTGTCCAAAGTCAAAGCCTGAAAAAAGCATCTTATTGCATCATTATTCCATTTCTATTGCAGAGGTTGGATTTTTTCTGCATGAGCTTTAAAAAAAGCAGTCAGATGGGAGGAGGACAATGAGAACAAAAGAGTACAAAAAGAGCCAGCTGTTTCAAGGCATAAGACAACAGTTTTTTGGATTTTTGCAAGCACTGATAGGCATTTACACCACCACCCAGAAAGGAAACCACTATCATCTTCTTTTAAAAAGTAGCAATTTTGCCAACTCCTGCAGAGCAGGCTGCTAAGAATATAAATCACATTTCTCGTGTTTCAAGAGAATACTAG